ACATGGGTGGGATTAATCTCATGTAATCTTGGACATCTCCGTTTGGTATCCATCATCACCCAGGGAGGTTTCTATACCAGAATAAGCCACCTTAGTCATCTTTTATAGTATAGAGAAAGAAACTTGCACTTTTAGAGCCTGATGCACCTCCCCTATTTTAACCATGTACCTTATAAAGAAGTAAAGTACATGCTTACAGTGCCTCTTTCTCTGTGTATCTCCATAAACTAAAAACAGAGTCATGAAGTGACTCACTGTGAAGTTTTGATGATGTTGCCCACGTCTCATGCCCCATGAGGTGTCCTAGGTGATGATCCCCACTGTCACCCACCTACTACTCCTCAAAGGCACAGGTGCACACAGTATGCCCTGTGTCATTTCCAACAGCCCCATCAGACCTTACGGCCTCTCACATGGCCCCAGATGCCTTATGAGCAGAAAGCACTCTTGCAGTGGGATCCACATCACCACATGCTTTAAGGAGAGCTGCAAATACAGAAACTAGTATTTACGTGACCCTCGTAACTGTAAGTACCTCAGAACACTTAACAGATTTACCTTTAAAACACTCCCATGACATAAGGAAATATGGAGTTATCCGATATCTTCCATTATAAACACCTATTGTAAAATTGACAGGAATACCAGGGCAAGCTCTGAAAAAATAAACACCCTGAGTGTTCAAGAAACTGTGGTCAAACTTCACACATTACTGATGCTTAGAGAGAACCTTAAAACAGATCGACACTTTACAGAAAAACAAATAATGAAACAAAAACATCCACTACAGTACCTAGTTATTCCTTCATGTTATGGAATACCTCATACTGTATAAAAAAAATCCTTGAGTTTTTGCATTCATTCTAACATTTTCTTAATTTTCAAACTTAGAAAAATTCTCTTTGTTTAGAACTCAGTATGAACAGCCACAAAGTTTAATAATGAAACAGACAAGGTAAAAAAAAATTACGTATTAGATTAAGTAATTTCCGTTTTCAAACTGTGATGGGCTTATGAATTACAGCAGAAGAGGGAACTGTCTACATCTGTAATCTTCGTTCTCAATTTTAGAAAGCATGAAAAATTAAAAAGTAACTGTCATATTGGTTGGAACAACAGTTTTATAATAATTCAGTGTTAATTTCAATATGATAATTAGCACTAAAGCTAAATAAACGCTTTATTATTTAATTGATGCTCAGAGCTTGAGGTACTAGAAGATACTCACAGATTAGCCACTAAAAGTGAGGAAGCAATGAATGATTTTTCATCTGGTATTTCTGTTTTTACATTGATTTGCCCTGGCTCCATCATCCTCTGAAGGTTAACAGACAACTCCCTCATCAGGAAGCTGGTAGGTGCAGTCTGTTTCTGCACAGGCTTGGGGCAAATTTGGAAGCAGCAGCACCAAACACACGCTACAGAGAGGCAAGATTTTACTTCAGATCTGCGAAGTGCCAACTCTGTGGGATAACACAGAGAATATCACACGCTGGAACAACAAAAAGGATTCATCTGTTGTTGTTTATAGGAATTTACTGAGATAAATTAGCTACTGAATGGCTTATTTGTTTTTCTCTGAATGAACAAAAACCTGCCAAAGGCACAAGGAAATAATTTGACCACAGCTCATATATAATAGTTGATATCAAAAGAAATAATTCAGTTAGTTTACGGTAATATCCCTGAGCAAAGAATTTTCTGTAATAATTATCAACTACTACTCAACATTCAATAAAAATAACTACTACAAAAGTGATAGGGAAAATAAAATATATGCAAGATTTGACGAGAATTAAAAACATAACCAGTGCTATGCCTTTTCCCCCCTTACTGGAAGACACTGACACTGCAAGATAAGGAAAAGGTATTTTAGTTTGGCTCCCTATAAAAACATCCACAAGGTCAGACATAAAAGGGGTCAAGGTAAAGACAGCACAATTTGAATTAATTGAGCCCTTCTCTTTTCTCAGATTCCACTGTCCCGTTATTTAGAAACTCCAGAAAGGAGGAGATTAGTGTATTTTTTGTATTCTTCTGTTCTGCTGGATATAGAAGTCTGGCATTAACTTGCAATAAAAGTCTTTTGAAATGGAAACATAATTTGAAAGAAATGAAATATAACTTCTGAATTAATCCTTGTGTAGCTATATGTCTCTATGCTGAGCATGATTTTGAATGCTTATTAACAAAAATCAAACTGCATTAAATTTTTTCCTCATTACATTCAGTACATTTTGAATTGAGTGATTTAGTGAACTGTAGATTTTTAACATTTTATCTGAATGTTAACAGAAGATAATCCCAGCTCCAACCTACAAAGAATATTTATTGTTGTAGTCCCTTGGATCATAGAATGCATTACTTGCATCTCAAGTCCACAGTGCAACAGGATGCTGCAATGCCAATACTACAGTGTTTCAAGCCAAATAGCACAATCCTGTTACACAAAAAGGGTAAATAAGAATTCTGGAGCAGTCTTTCTGGGTCTTAAGTTACATTATTTACTATAGCAGCAGGCAGCTGTATCATAAACATGGATTGTGATGGATTGTGATCCATTTTAAATTTTGTTAGGGCTTTTGGGTTGGTATTTTTTGTCTTTATCACTCCTACTACTACGTTGTTCCAGAAAGTCACTATTCTGGTAGTTAGACATCTTCTAATCTCCAGCATCAATTTATTCATTGCCAGATTACACTGCCCCATGCTTTCTTTTCTCCCGTAATCCAATTGAAACCAATGAGATTAGCCAAATGAATAAAGTAAATTGGAAATTCATATGTTGCAATATTTTCAAAAGAACTTGTTCTTAAACCCATGATTAGATATTTAAATATTTCCCAGACTCTGATCACCTATTCAAATTATTTTAAAACAGACAATTTATGATTGGATCTGTGCCAAACTACAGGAAAAAAGAGCTAAAACTGAATGTTGTCAGGATGATAACTTGGTAAACAGTCTTGCTGAAATGAAAACGGCAATGCTTCTATCAATTTAATTCCAATATTGAGCCTGTTAACACAAGGTAATCATAACAAGTACTCAGATGCATATTTCTTATCACCACATAAAATGTGCTTTACAGAATTACAGCTGGAAGCAGCCATTAAATCATTTGTATAACTCTGTACACAGATAAACTCCCTGCATATGCAAGATCATAAATTCACCTAATTACCCTTGCATTAAGCCCAGTCAATTGTATATGGCTAGAAATATGAGAAATACCAGGAGATGGGGAATCCAGTACTGCCCTTACATGTTTGCTTAATAGTTACACTTCACGGTGTAAAAAAGTATGCTATTTTTATTTTGAAGTGTCTCCTTTCAATCCACTGTTTAAAAACTAAAAGAACATTATTTCAGTCTTTCAGCTTTTCCTTCCAGATGATTCTTCTTGTGTTTTTTAAATCTCCCGAAATAAAAAGCCCTAACTATACAATATTTCCTGCTTGTGTATTTCAACTTCACAAACTCATTACTCGGCTGTCACATATCTAAGGTCACTTATACCCTTTTCATCATAGGTTTGCACTCGACATTCATGTTAAAACCCTTGTAATCTAGCATAAAGCGTAGTTGCAAGCTAAAATCACTGGCCCACATGATCTTTACTCTCTGACATGTATTCACTTTTCCTAGAAGTATTACATTTTGTTGTATAACATGCATTTTTGTTTAAATTAATTCAGTTAACAGATCATTTTGTTGGACTGTCTGGCAAAACTGTTATCTGTCATTTCACCAGTCTGTATTCTGTCTCCTCCCAAAAACTGATTAATCATTTTCAGAAAGGGTAATCATCATCTATTTTTTTGGACTAGATTCGGCTCTTCTTACTCAGGCTGAATTAGACGCTCTTTTAAGGACATACGTTACTGTTCACAGCAATGTGTTATACTGTGCATGTAAGTATGGCAGAGTCTAACCCTCGACAGGGAAAGAATAACTTGTCTTTTTTTTTTTTTTTAGCCTCATTCCATTTCTAGCAAACACACCTGTATCTCCCAAATAAACAGAGAAATAGAGAGTTCAGATGAAAAATTACAACTAACTGTTCACTTTGATTCACTACAGCCCAGTGTAAACTGCTACCAACAGTGTAAATGGTGCTAATAACAATGCACAGATATTAACAGTGTGGGTATTGGTGTGTTTGACTATATTTTCTTGGAAGCCACAGCTCTATCAACTTCAATCACTTCAGAAATTATGTAATTGTTTGTACAAGTGACAATAAATATGAAATATTAAAACCAATGACGTCAATCTCCCTCATTCTAAGAAATTTTTATCCTTCTATCCCAGATAAAAAACGACCCATCTCTTATGGGATAAAAATACAAGAAAAAGAAATCCTGTCTTTTGAAAAGCAGTATGCCAGATTTATGGTTAGAATATATCTTCTTGCAATGATACAGGCAGGTTATCAGGTCCATAGCTCTTACAGTAGCTCGTGAAGGTGGTTAATGACTGAAATGCTGTCACTGAGTCAGCTCCAACAGTTTGATTAGGAAGGATACTGCGCCTCTGAGCTACTTCTTATAAAAGCCACTTCTCACACCGTAAAGAAAGCCAGAGGAGGGAAAGCCTCTTACTACCGGCTAAGGGCTGAAGAAATGACTCCTCACAGTCAGAAACGTGTGGTGGCAGAAGTCTTTTTAGTATACCTTAGGCAGCAATTCTAATATATTGCAACAGGGAGTTTGCCATTCTTTAATCAATTATGATTTCATCTTTTCCCAGAAAACATTTATACTCATCTAATTTGTTTCTCATGTGTGTACAGTAGTTTTTAAAATTTACACCTACAGTTGCAAGAGCAGTTTTGTTTTACCCTGCGCTATTTTTTATGGTCTAGATATCATGGATGATTCAATCAAACTACACGGCCCTTTACACGTAACAAAAGTTCAGTGCATACATATTTCGGCAGTCTAATTTTCTCCACATATCTGCTTAAAGAAGAAAGAAAAATTAGCTGTAGCATTTACCTGTAGAAGGCTGGGGGAGCAGCTTCCCTCATTCCAAAGCTGCCCTGTTCGTTCTCAAGGTAATAGGGTACCTGTTGGCCGTGGTGATGGATGAAGGGTGAGAGCTGGGGCGCCGTCTGCAAGAATACCACGGGGCTTGGTGGGACATTGTTCAGTGAGTGAAATCCTGCCAAACTGCTGGACCCAAAGGACTCAGAAGTAGGGGCATAACTGAGAGTAGTAGAGCTGTACACAGGAGCGGTGGTAGCAAAATCGTAAGCGGTCCCTTCTGGGTAGTTGAAAACCCCTGTCTTGTTGCTCTCCACGTACATGTCGCTGAGCGATCTTTCCAGGGGGATCTTCAGCTGAGGTCTGCCCAGTGTCTCCAGCTCCGTGCCTTGGATCTGGTGCAGCAGGGTAACTCCAGAGGTTTTGGTGTGAAGGGTCATGGTCATTGCTAATGGCAGTGAGCAAGGAGCATATCTGCTTTTATTGTCAACAGCGAGATCGGCAGCTGGCAGTCCACCTAAAAAAGAGACCAGAACCTATTCTGAGGCTCAGCAGAAATCATGTTAAAGCAGCGCTGCACAGGTATTCATCTAATCTCAGCAAGGAGGAGGATACAATCAAACGCAGAGTGAGCACTGAAAACACACATTCCCCCTTTCTCTCTCTCCCTCTCTCTCTCTCTCTCTCTCTCTCTCTAACTTTTAAGTACTCCTCATCTGTGCTAATATGCATTACAAAGGTGCTGGCCACAAGCCAGGAACTCTTGCCTTGTGCTGACATTGGTTTAAACATCACTTCAGAAACAATTAGTTTTGGAGTTATACCAAATAATTGTCCCACTAAACGTTACTTTATTCTTACTAGTCGTTTAATTTTTCACTTCAGAGTAGCCAGCGCTCCACAGCGACTAACGGAAAAGAACGCTTAAATCAAACCAGGAAGACTAGTCCAGTGGTCAGCCAGATTACTGCCTTTTATTTCCTCAGCAGGCTCCAATCTATCTGTGTTTATCTCGCCTCCTGTTTGATTCATTTTCATGTTTGCTAGAAATATGTAATGTGTACGTTGCAATGACCCTGGTTAGGACTATGCTGTAACTGAGATATGGCAGCGCAGAATGTGTGTGCACACGCTTGTGTGTGTGTGTGTGTGTGTGTGTGTAACTAACCTCAGTCAATAAAACTAGCTGGCAGAAATTAAAGGATGTATGGTATCTATGTAGGAGAAAAGACTTAGAATATACTTCCATCAGTAATAACAATTTGCAGAAACTAACCTAAGTGTAAAAGTAACATTAAAAAGGAAAAGCTTTAGATTAGCTTATAAATTAGCTTCTAAATTAGCTTTATAAATTTCTGTCTGCTTCTTTTGAGGCTGGAAAATGATGAAACAAAGCATCATACAGACTTGATCACAGTAAAACCCTAATAGTTAGAAAAAACGGTTTGATTACGTGACATGTGAATTGAATACAGGAAATTCTTTTGCTTAGTCCCATAAGCAGAAGCTCAGCAAACCTGAATTCTGAAATCAGACTGGAAAACCAAGTCATCTAAAATAATCAAAAGGGATCAACTTTAAAATAAACAGAAATGCTTCTCAAAAGTTATATTTAGAAAAAGGAGAGAGGACATAATGAAAAGGTGTGGCATGCATGCTTCATCTTGCAATCTTATTCCGTATAATTTTAACTTTGCATAAACCAGTTGTCTTGAACCAGCTAAAGGAAAACCTCCAAAATCTGTTTCAAGTTCTCCAGCATTATTGCTGTGGTCTGTGGTCCAGCCAGTGAAATAGGTTAATGCCAACCCTAAACACATTAATGTAAGGGCTCCAGTTAGTATGGCTTGAACACTAGCAAAGCCTATGCTATACTTAAACAACTCCACAGTTATTCAGCTCAACCTTCAAAAGACTCAAGAAACTGAAAAACTCAGTATGCAGGTCACTAATAGCTTCAAGAAAACTCTACTGAAAAATTATTTTATTTTAATAACGCTATGTTTTTAGAACTACTAAAACAGCAAAAGTTATTTATATTTGCAAGGCTATGTTATAGTAATACGCATTTGTACCTCTGCATACACACAGCTAAGACAACAGCACACACATAAATATGTACTTGAAAGATTTCCTCACTCACCCACCCTCCCTACCCTGTTCAAATTTCAGACTGTAGACTTTGATCAAAGAGATAAGCCTGTTTAAATAACGCTGGACTAAACATGTTCCTAGTTAACAAAATAATAATCAGACAATCATACCCAGCAGTTCAGAAAGTCTTCGAAGAGTTATTCTGACAATATGCCAGGCAGTGTGAGAGAAAAAAGAGTGTGTGTGTATGTTTGCATAGAGTGGGCGAATGTGCATTTGCAGAGGCTCACCAAACAGCAAGCGAGCATAGCTCCCAGCAGCCAGGCTGCTGGGCTACACGGGCTGAACTGAATGGCAGTTACAAGTTTAAGGTCAGTGACTCTTACGGATTTCATTTTGTTCTTCAGGAATACATGGAAAAGGCATTTTCTCATTTGATACTGCATAACCTGAGAATTAATGTGAAACAGTCTGCCATAATAAGAGAACACCCACTTCCATAGTGTGCTGCATACAGCCTTTAAATTTTTATTTAAAACATTGTCTGATATGTGCACTATTTTAGAAATGCTATATTGACATGTAAAAAAACGCTACAGAATAGTAGCTATGCAAAAGAGGGAAGATACAAGGGTGCACGTACAGATTTGACTTCTGAGAGTACCCTGCGCAAACTCAGTGCTTCTTACATGCAATTTTTAAAAAATCCAATTAACTGTTTGAGGGGGGGTTGTGTGTTTTAAGGGAGATCAAATTTTTTAAATTGACAGCATACACAAACAGCATTAAAATGCACTGTAGATTTAAACAAAAGCAACATTACTTCTGCTCTGTACCACTTTAACCCGAATCCCTGGGACCAGCTTTCCACAGGCCAGTGTGGAAAGTTACAGTCCTGCCCTCCAAAAAGGCTGAGCAATAGGTAGCTGCAGGATCATTGCAGCACATAGCCTGGTACACACATCAGAAAAAAATGTCAGTGTCACCATCTAGGTCTTGAGGCTTGGCTGGGCATCCCTATGGCAGCAACCTGAAACGTTTGGGTTAATTTTTTTGAGGGAAAAAACTGAGGGTGCAGGAAAGGGCAAGGACCGGGGGAGTGAGACAGGGGTGGTTAATCAAGCCAAATCCCAGGATGGCAAATTTGTGACTCGGCATACTGCATATTTTTTTAGATACAAAAAAGGTGAGAAGTTCTACAGCTTATCAAACAGGTTTATTTTCCTTGTCTTCTCTGAGGATGACTATCCTACTTCCTCCAAATTAACACACAGAATTTCACCTTGATTTAGAGATGGGGTTGAATATCTCCGCTTCTGGGCTCACCCCAAGAAATGAGATCTAAGTTTCTAAAACCTGGCCTTTGTGCTTAAAGGCCAGGACTTAATCCACCACCCAGTTTAATCATTCTGATCTACTAGATATCAAGTTTTACATGTTAGGAACATAATATGGAAATATGTACAGCATATAGCAATAATATTTGGTATTTTTCACTAGTAGATTCTTTTCAGAAACATCGCTACACTGAACCCCTTTTTATGTATGCCTTTAAACTTACGCAGGTCTTTAAACTTAGGCAGACTATCATCTGCCTCATTCACTGCATAGCTAAAAAAAAATGTGTAGTATCTTCAGAAACTAAATAAAAACGATATGCCAGACAGAGGTGTTCAAAAATGTTGAAATCTAGCTATTAAGCTTTGTTACTTTCCCCACTAATGTGTATTCTGTTGCAGCCAAGCCACTCCATATATTCCTCTCAACTTAAAAACAACAACAAAAAAAGGCCTGGTATTGTTTTGGAGTTACAAAGCCCATACACAACAGGAGAACACCATCTCCCCCTGCCTTCCTCACACCCTGACAAAATGTAGAGGTAAACTGATTCTGCAAACTTCAAAGATTTGCTAAATTTGTATCAGGGATAGATTGGTTCTTTGCTATATTTGTGAAGTTTAGGAATATACAAATAAAATCAGTGCTAGTTTTGATCCATCTCTAAACATAGAGTTTAAACAGGGAAGAAACAGGAAGAAAAGAGGCAATAGCAATCAATGAGTACGGAAAAAGAAAAGAGGGGACAGCCCGCTGTAACTGAGGAGCACAAAGTACGTGCTGGCAGGGAAGATCAAAGCATAAATTCCTTCTTCATGCACAGTGATTTTTAGTGAGACTGACTAAAAGATGAGTCTCTGAAACCGTGAAGATTTAGACATTATCGTTCTCATCGAAATGGGAAATGAACTGATTAAATAAATGTAAGTGGAGGATTAAATCCTGTGTTCCTTTTTTAAAAATATCAAGCTTTCTATTTTCTTTTTCTAGACATGTCAGAGCCAATGCCCAATTCAGATTTTGCAGAGTGAGGAATTCGCTTTAAACTACACTAATAAAATACAAAATGCAGAAAAATTAAAACTAAATCACATTTCTGTGCTAAATTTAAATTGTTTAGAGGTAGCATACAGTTAGATATGTTTCTGAAGGTAAACTCATTTCATTTCATTGATGCACACAGTTTGCTTCTAGTTTTTACACTGCTATCATCATCTTTGCTGATAACTGACTAGAGAGATCACATCAAATTAGCAGAGTCATTCATAGTGTGCTTTGGCTCAGCTGGACCATCAGTCCAGCACCCTCACCAGGTAGAAACAGGTGGGTCCTGAATCAAATTCAAGATTCAACCATAATAGACAAGTTGAATATATTTTTAATTAAAATCCAGAACACAGCACAGAAACAAGAGGAGAAGTAGCCTCCTTCCACTGATAGCAAATAACATGACGTGATGCCAGCAAAACGGTCTGAGAAACAGAAAAAGGAAAAGAAAAGATAGCCAAAAACTATAGAAAATATTGCACTAGCTTATGAAAATAACCAAAAGAAGGCTTGGGGATTTCCAGGGCCATCATCAGTTTTCTTCTGACTAAGAGTCCTGAAGGCCAATCAGGGAATGCTAAAGGAACAAGTTCAATTTACAGGGAGAAAACAACAAAAAGAAATGGAGGAAAAAACAGCCTGAACATAAAGACCATTTCTTGATTCTAGAAAAGATAAAACAGCAGTTTGAGGGAAAGGGAGGTGAAAGTAAAAACAGTTGCTACATAAAAACTATTCAAATTATAGGAATCCTTAAAGATAGCAAAACTCCTAGTCCTATATTGTTTTCTTTTTTCAGCACTGGTTTCCAATTTTAGTAAGTATTCCAGCAGAAAATGGTAAACTCAGAACTGAGAAGGTATGCTATAAATTTTCCCTAAACCTGCTGACAGAGAGAGACCATAAACTTCATTGGTTCAGTTCCACAACTATAAAGATAGAAGTTTTTTTTAGCTGCTGCAATTAAAGAAGAATCTATTGCACATAACAGGAGGAACATTATGTTTTTCCAAGATTCCACTGTAGCATTACAGAGAA